AAAAAAATACAGAAATTCTCCACAAAAGAAAAAGACACAGAGAATGTTCTAATATGTTTTAACAGACTTTTGTTGTTTGACATACTCAGCTAGAAATATTAATCTTGAGAGTAAACATTACTTTATGAATGAAAACTCAAGATTTATATCATTTAAGAATGTAACGATCATGTTTAAAACAATAAAATGTTGGATTCTTCCTTTTTGTTACCACATCAAGGTAATCCTTGATTTGAAACCATTGTTATAGAGAAGATAATTATTAAGAGAAAAGATAAGGATGTCAAGAGTAACTAAAATGATGTGGCAACATGTCCAGGCTTCTAAATGAGAGACACACATTTTGGAACCACTTACTTCAAAGAAAGGAAGTTCAAAACAATTTTAATATATATTTACTGAGTTTATTGACTATGATTTCAAGTAAATATCAATTTACTCTATAGAAAATTGTATCACTCACTTGTGAAGTGCAACTCTGTCAGAGCTAAAGGGATAATCTTTATATTATCCTAAAGCACCAGTCAATAGCATATAAACTTTTTTCGTAACGTGTTTCTCTTTCAGGAATTTTCACTCTCCTCCTCCTTGTCTCTTTCCACATTCTCTTCTCTATATACTATGAGAATATAGATAATTCTCATAATTAATTAATTATGATTCCCTCATTTCCCTTTACAATTAGGTTTCTTTTTATATAACTGATATGTCTAAAAGTGTATTAACCTTTTCTCTATTAGTTCTGTTTTTAACAATTTCAATGTACAGACAATTTTATTTAATTAATAACAAGTAACTGCTTTATGTAAATTTATCATGGTTATTAGCAACCCATGAATAATAGCCCCCATTTTTTGAAATTTATTTTTTAAATGCTATCTTTTTTCATTTTACATATCAATTCCAGTTCCCACTCACTCCAGTCCTCCAGTTCCCTCCACTTCCCACCCATACCACCCCCCATCTACTCCTCAGAGAGGGTAGGTTTCTCATGGGGGTGTCAACAAAGTCTAGCACATTGCTTTGATGCAGGACCATGACCCTTCCCAATATATCTAGGCTGAGCAAGATAACCCTCCAAAGAGAATGGGTTCCAAAAAGCCAGTACAAGCAGTATGGGTAAATCCTGGTTTCAGTGTTAGTGTCCCCACAATCTGTCCAGCCATATAATTGTCACGCATCTTCTGGAGCCTAGTTTGTCCCTGTTCTGGTTTTCTGCTTGTCAGGCCAGAGTTGGTGAGCTCACATTAGCTCAGATAAATTGTTTCAGTGGGTACCCTCATCATGTTCTTGACCTCTTTGTTAATAGTCTCACTCCTCCCACTCTTCAACTGGGGCTCAGTCCAGTGCTTTGCTGTGGATCTCTGTATCTGCTTCCATCATTTGCTGGATGAAGGTTCTATGACACCATTTAAGATAGTCATTAAACTGATTACAGGGTAAGACCAGTTCAGACGCCTTCTGCACTATTTCTTAGGGTCTTAGGCACAGGTACAATCAATTGGGTAAATAAAGGTGTTTTTTTCCTACCCATTAGGTAAAAATAACAACTCCTGAAATAGAGGCATTGTGAGATATATATATATGTATATGTATATATGCATATACATATATACTTATAATGTTTAATATAAACTTTTTAAGATATATATATGTATATGTACATATGCATATACATATATATACTTTAATACACATATATATAATACATATATAATCATATATAATTTTAATATTAAAAGTATAATATATACTTTTAATTTTTTTAAAAAAAATTTGTTTGATAAGTGATATTTTTCTTTTCTTATATTTGAATAAGAATAGTCGCTTTAAAATATGGACCTTGAAAATTACAGTAGCATAAATGAATATTTCTTACCTATTCTGCTATTCTCTGAGTCTTCAGAACTTTTATTAAGTGCCACCACATGTTAATGATAATTCAAATTGAAAAAGATTGTTTGATGTAATAAATTGAGATGAGGTATAGAACGGAACATCTTGAGTGAGAGACAATTTATATTTTAACATCCTTGATGTGCTCACTTGCTCAGGAATGTTTGATGTGCCAGACAGATTTTGGCATCAATTAGACCACCTATCCCAAAATCATATGCTTCAGCCATACAACTCTATAAGCTTACAGCTTCCATGACTAGATGTGATTTCTGTAGAGTTGCAACTAGAAGGAAACTGAAATGAATAACAAAAATGAGCTCATAAACCTTAACAAAAAGTGTTCTCTAAAGTAGTTTGATACTTGATAGATATATGTATGTAACTTTAAATTTATCTGTTTGGACTACAAAGCTGAATATTTTTAGTATGCTAACAGGTATGTGCACCAATCACCAGCCAATTTACAATGTTTTTCTTATTACCTGAAAAGAATCTTGATACCTCCTGGATGCCTTGGCATTTTTTGGTGTGCCTGAGCACTTCTAAACAAGCACTGATTTTCTGTGGCTATTTATGCTCCTGCTACTGACATAGATCTGAAAGGAATTACAATACTGTGTATTCTTTGATTATTGTTCTCCTTCAGTTAACATCTTCGAGATATACAGCCATGGTTTAGGATATAACAAAAATTTTCCTATCTACATATTATTTCACTATAGGTATAAAGTAATTTTGTGGCTGGACAGTGGTGGTACATGTCTTTAATCCTAGTGTTCAGGAGGCAGAGGCAGGCAGATCTCTCAAGTTTGAGGACAGTCTAATCTACAATAGCTAGTTCCTGGACAGGCTTCAAAGCTGAAGAGAAACTCTATCTCAAAATACAGTATTTTGTGTCTCCCTGAGTCTATGCACATGAAAATCATTGTCAACAATATTAACAACATAATGTTTGTTTGTTTGTTGTTTTGCTTTCTCAAGATAGGGTTTCTCTGTGTATCTCTGGCTGTCCTGGAACTTGCTTTGTAGGCCAGGCTGGCCTTGAACTCACAGAAATCCATCTGCCTCTGCCTCCATGAGTGCTGGTATTATGGTGTGCATCACCACTGCCTGGCTTGAATGACATAATGCTAATAGGTCATTCATATAAAAGATTTGCTTTTACATAGAAAACTGAGTTGTAGATTGGAGTTACAGTTAGGGCAGTCTAAGTCTCTACAAATCCACCCTTCCAATCACTCTCTTTTATATTACAAATACTCTAATTGTTATAAAATGTTATCCTATGGTGTAATTTGCAATAAAAGAGAAAAAAAAGAAGAAGAAAATATAAACTCACTAGACACAAAAAAGATATCTGCCCCTAGATTTATAATCTTCTATAGAAATATTTCTTGTCAGATTATCTTTGGGTCACCAGTCCACAAATAATGGCCTAGAGACTTATTATTAATTATGAAAACTTTGCATTTAGCTTAGGTTTGTCTCAACTAGCTCTTATAACTCAAGTTAACCTATTTATATCAATATACATTCTGTCACATGGCATTACCTCTTTTTCATCTTGTACCTATTGTTTCCTTTTTATATCTTGTGGGTGACACTGTCTTTCTTCTCCCCAGATTTCTTTCTCTTCCCAGAAGTTCCAACTATGCTCTCCTGCCTAACTATCAGTCATTGAGCATTTTATTACACCAAACACAGAAATCTATCTTCATACAGGATAACAAATATCCCACAACATTAACCATTTTGTCTAATTAAAAAGGAAAGGTTTTAACTTTAACATAGCAAAATTATATATAGTTGTTGTAAAAGGAGTGGCAGGCCGCTTCCCACTGCCTGGCTCCCAGCTAGCTTTACCCAAAATAATTAGATGGAAACTGTATTGATTTAAACACTGCCTGTCCCATTGTCTACCCCTTATTGACTAACTCTCACATATTGATTCAACCATTTCTAACAATCTGTATGTCACCACAAGCTCATGGCTTACCAGGAAAGATTCAGCATGCCTGACCTGGCAGCTTCCAGGTGGCGGCTCTCTGCCGCTGCCTCCTTTCTCCCAGCATTCTGTTCTGTCTACTCTGCCTATCTAAGCTTTTTTCCTATCAAAAAGACCAAGGCAGTCTCTTTATTTAACCAATGAAAAAACACACAGAAAGAAGACCCTCCTACACCATATAATAAATGCAATTATAATGTAAAAATTACATTCAAAATGTTCACTCAATTTGTATTTGACATGTCAGAGAAAATATTCTATTATCTATCCTATCTTGATAATTCCAAAGTTTTGTACCTAATTTACTTTCTATCATAACTAAGGAAAACTGATCTAAAACAATCTAGTTTTCATCCTCATCAGAGACCCAAGGAGGATATAATATTTTCTGAGCAAACATAAAGTACAGAGCAAACAGTTTATAAACTATAGAAATGACAGAGACATCTGAATGTCTGAATAGCCACCCCGATGCTCCTCTGCAACACTGGGGCACCCATCTACAGTCTACAGGCCCAAAACATTGGACAGATGTTTTTGTGAAACAGGACATTTTGAAATACTATTCTACTTTGTCATGGCAAAGTTCATCAGTATCCTTCTTTTATGTCCTACTTCTCTAATTTGGACAGAATATTATCAGTAGTAAGTCAATGGCAGTTTCTTAACCAAATTGATAGCTCCATCACATGGAAGCAAACTCCATATGAGGGTTCTTCAGTGTCCATTATTCTTTTTGAAGAAAGTTGCTGCTGTCTGGAGTAGACCTGTATCACTGTCATGAAAAGATTTAGGTTATTAAAACATTTTAAATGTCATATTCTGTACATCTCTGCTTGACCTTGAAAGACTATCTAATAATAATAACTTTTAAGGAATAGAACTTTAGATTATATTTTTAAATGAACTGAATAGGCACAATACTTTAAACAAAAAAGAAACATGAATAAGATATGTCAAAAATAAGCATAAATTTGTATAAATATCAAAAAATCTATACCAGTATAAAACATTTGAGAATAGTATTTTTTATTTTGAAAGTAGACTTACTAATATACCCTTTTATCTTATCATTTCTATATTTCTGCCTTTTCAGAAAGAGATCCTTGGATCTTATCTCCTTTGGTAAGGTTCCTCCCTGACAATTACCAATAACAACTTGCAATCATCAAACCCCCAAATGATGACATACACCCATCAAATGACTGAAACTACCCATGTCATCTTTTGGGAATGGTGACATCCTGTTCTTTTTACTGTTTCCAGTTGTCTGAAGGCAGGGTGACAGCATTTTTAAGAGAACCCGGGAAAATTGGGACAAAGATCAAGTCCTGGATGAGCTAACTATATTATTTTTCGTTTAGTTTCTGTGAGATGGGAAAATGTGGAATTTATCTGAGGTCTATATTGAAGTATTCTATGAGGCTAGACCATCCTAGCTTTGAAGTTGTTCTATATGTAGAATTTTGAGGAAAACTCAATAGAGGAATTTTAAAAGGCTAAATCACCTGAAATACTTGTCTTTATTGATGTCTTTTTTTTCCTTGAAAACACACAAACTTTTAAAGGTAACATATAAACCTGTATTAGCACAAGTATGAAATGTGTCATATGCATAAGTTATATAAGGATTATTTTCTGTTCTATCTTTTAACAGGTAAAACAAATCTATCAACTTTATAAATTCATTTGGATTGTATAATCTAACTGTAGTATTAATCTCCATCCATGCCAAATAAAAGGAAGGCTTGTTATAATAAGTCATGAAGATTCTATAGCCAACAAGATTCATCAAATCCCATCCTGTCTCAGAGCTGTTTCCATACAGAGGGGTTAACATACACATCACCTCTCTGCGGTCTCTCCTAGCTTCCTCCCTCATATTTGCATTCAGTATCCTCAAGAGTCCTCCCATGATCAAACCTGATCTTTATTAATTTGAAGAAATTCATAGCTTTATATTTCTTGTGGAAACAAAATCATAATCTCTCCACAATCCAGGACTTTTCCTGGTCTCCAGGACGTTTCCTGGTTTCCATTCTGAAGCCAAGATATACAAATGTAGACAGCCTGGTTTAATTGAGTAGTCCCTTCCACAATCCAATGTCTCTCAGCAGCTGCCAGTCTCTGTTCATTAGCATTCAATAAATTCAAAATTAATAAAGCGCCATATAAGTACAAACACCCTGTGTTATATTTTTTATCCTTAGGTGGTCTGTTTTTATATATTAGCTTAGTCTCTCTTAAAGACTTGCCTTTCTTACCTTAAATTACTGTTTTTTCTATGACTGTCTATACCCATTTTATTTTCTTTCTTGAGCACCTAATCACATATTTAAGCATATTGTACCTTTTTTAAAGCTCTGTATATCTGGACCTGTTTCCTGCAGTGCTTACTGACTGCATGAGCCAAGTCTTAAAGGGCTAGTCTGAACAAATGCAGTTTTGTTTATCATCTAACACAGGCTGCAGGCAGTGGCCAAAAGTTACCCCTATGTATGCAATGGATATCAGCCTGCCCATTGGACTGTAGGATTAGGAAGCTATTTTTGGCTTCTTGTCTAGAAACTTTCTAAGCTTTCTCACGCCCTATGTTTGGATGATTGTGCCTCCATGTTAGATGTCAGATATAGGAGTACTTTCTTGGACTGATGTATCCATTTTTTTTTCTACTGTGTCTTCAAACATCCAAAATTCTTTCTTCCATCTCTTATATTCTCTTGGTAATGCTTGCCTCTGTAGTTCCTATACAAATATGCAAAATTTTCAATTCTAATCTTCCCTCAGTTTGAGTTTTTAAAATTGGTTCTACTTCCCTTTGTCTTAAGGAGTTTTTTTTTTCATTCTCTTATACTATTTGTGTTTTCCTGGTTTTCTATCAGGGCAGCCAAATCCCCAATAAAATAACACAGACAGACATAATGGATGCAAAAGCAGTACACATCCTTCTGCTTCATACAAAAAACACTGTTACCTTAGAAAAGGGGTTAGAAAAAGATATTCAAAAAATGAACTTAGGTAAGAAACTGGTATAGCCATTTTAATTTCTAACAAGATAGACTTCAAACTAAATCTAAAAAGAAGAGATATGGATGGACAGAAAGTATTTATCAAAGTAAAAACAAACACAAGGGCACCCAAATTTGTAATAATAAAGCAACCACTATGATAAACACTATTACGTCTTTAATCACATATTGCTCTTCACACACTGATACTGGGAAACTTCAATACACAAATTACATCAATAAATGAATCATCCCAACAAAAAGTAAACAGAGAAATTTTGGAGCTAACAGACATTATAAACCAAATGGATCTAATGGAAATATTTATTTATTTATTTATTTATTCATTTATTTATTTCGAATTTCCACCCCTCCAAGCCTCTCTCTTCCCTCCCCCTCCCCACCTCCACCACCCTCTCTAGTCCTAAGAGCAGTCAGGGTTCCCTGCCCCGTGGGAAGTCCAAGATCCTCCCCCCTCCATACAGGTCTATAAAAGTGAGCATCCAAACAAACCACGCACCCACAAAGTCAGTCCATGCATTAGAATCAAAACTCAGTGCCATTGTCCTTGGCTTCTCAGTCAGCCTTCATTGCCAGCCACATTCAGAGTGTCCAGTTTGATCACATGATCCATCACTCCCAGTACAGCTGGTCTTGGGTATTTACAGAACATTTCACCCAATTACAAAATAATATGCCTTCTTTGCACCTCATTGAACTTTCTCCAATATTGAACACATACTCAAACACAAGACAGGTTTCAACAGATAAAGAAAATTTAAATACCACCTGGCATCTTATCAGATGACCATGGACAAAATCTGGATAGCAACAATAGGAATAACAGAAAGTTTACAAACTTTGAAAATTTTAAATAAAAAAGGACATACATTAGAAACTGTATTCCAAAAAAAATTAGAAAATCTGAAATAAGTGGATAATTTTCTTGGTAGACACCTCTCAAAAATATCTTTAATTTCTAGTAAGTACAAGTGGTAATTAAAAGTATCCCAATCCCATGTCCCAATGTTTTCAGTGAAGAATTCTATCAGCCATTCAAAGAAGAGTTAGCATCAATGTTCCTCAAATTATTCCACAAAATAAAAACAGAAAGAACATTGCCCAAAGCATTTTATGAGTCTGCAGTTACCCTGACACCCAAACCATGTACAGACCTAAAAATGAAAATGAATTGCAGGGCAGTTTTACTTATGAACATAGAGGCAAATATTCTCAATTAAATATTTTCAAACTGAATCCAAGAACACTTCAAAAACATCACCCACCATGATCACATAGGCTTTATCCAGAGATGAAAGGATGGCTGGATAAACGAAAATCAGTGAATGTAATACACTATATTAAAAAACTGAATGGAAAAAACCCACACAATCATCTCATTTAATGCAAAATGATTATTTGAGAAACTCAAACTCCTGTACATGGTAGAAGTACTTGGGGATATTATTGATACAAATAGCATATCTAAGCATAATAAAGACAGTTTACAGCAAGTCTATAGTCAATATCAACTTTAATGGGGAGAAACTCAATTTAATCCCCCTAAAATGAGGAACAAGACAAATTGTTCACCCTCTCCATACCTATCTAATGTAGTACTTAAAGTCTTAACTAGAGAAATAAGATAACTGAAGACAATAAAAGGCAAACATATAAAAAAGGAAGAAGTCAAAGTATCTGTCTGTAGATGATATAATAGCATACATAAGTGACCCCAAATTTCCTCCAGAGAACTCCTACATATGATAAACACTTTCATCACAGTTGCTGGATGGAAAATTTCCTCACTAAAATCAGTAGCCATCCTATATACAAATGACACATAGTCTAAGAAATAAATCAGAGAAACAACAATACCTTTCACAATAGCCTGAATTAGTATGCAATGTTTTGGAATAACTCTAATAAAGGAAGTGAAAGACTGTATGATGAAACTTCAAGTCTTTGAACAAAAAAACTGAGAAGATATCAGAAGATGAAAAGATCTCTCATGCACATGGATTGGTAGGATTTATACCTACCAATGTCCATCTGCCCCTATCATTTTACAGATTCAATGGGATCCACATCAAAATTCTAACACAAATTCTCATTGACCAGAAACTATAATTCTTAATTTTATATGGAAACACAAAGTACCCAAGTAGTACAAATAATTCCGAACTCCAAAGACCTGCTGGAGGTCTCATCATTCTTGATTTCAAGTTTTACTAAAAAGCTATCATAATAAAAACCACAAGGCATTGGCACAAGAATAGACAAGTTGATCATTAGAATTTGACGATTCAGACACAAATCCACACACCAATGCATAAATGATTTTTTTAAAGTGTAAGAAGTTAAGACCTACTAGGCCAAATGGAGTCAACCAGGAATCTGCCTGGAGCTGTCAAATACCCTGTCTGTGTCTAGCCAATAAGGAGTGACCAAACAATGTTTCCTGGGTTCTTAGTAGCAGGTGCTGTCAGAGGTCCTTATAATTCCTAGTTAATGAGAGACAAGCATAATGTCAACTGTCAATGTGGTATGGGAAGTCCTTCTGTATATGTGTTCCTTTTATTGGCTAATGAACAAAGAAGCAGCTTTGGTCTGTGATAGGACAGAGTATAACTAGGTGGGGAAACTAAACAGAATGCTGGGATAAAGAAGGTGGAGTCAGGAGAAACCATGGAGCCGCCAGAGTAGAAAGACACAAGCTACCAGTTAGCATCTTGATGGCAGGCCATGAGCCTCATGGTAAAATATAAAATAATAGAAGTGGGTTAACCAAAGATGTAAGAGATAGCAATATGCTTAAGCTACTGCTGGCCAAACAGTATTGCAAATAGTATTGTTAGGACTCAGCGATTTCTGGCCATTCACAAAGGAGACATTATTCCTAGGAATTTCTTATTTATAGTCCCATCTCAGATGTCCTATTCTACCACAATTAAAACATTTGGCATTTTGATGTCTCTCCATACATTTGGAAATTGCTTTTCCTATCCAATAACCCATATTATAGTCAAATGTCTCAATGTTCATTGTTTGCATGATCCATTCATCATTGGTAGTGATCTAACTTTTATAGTCCCAAATACTTTTTTGCATTCTGAGCTGACATTTTCAAAAGCCAGAGATTCAATAACTACTCTTCTAGCATCTAGGTCTGTTACTCCTCTTTGTACAACCTTAGTTAATATTTGTAGAAATTCACTAAAGGGTTCTCTCTGGCCCTGTTTAACCCTGGTTTATGATTCAATTCATTTTTCTAGTTCTTGAATCTTGTCCAAAGCATTTAAGGCTTCTTTGTGGCACAGGGACAAGATTTGTTCATTGTAAGGAGCTTGAGCCTGTGGGTCAGCATAAGTTCCCTCACCAAGAATATGATCTTGGGAAGTCTCAAGTTATATAGATTTTCCCTGGTTTATTTTTTTTTAAATTTTAGCCTCTTCCTGAAATAATATTTCCACATCATCTAGGTTTAAGAAAGCTAACTGAAGCCAGTCATGTGATGTGGCTTTAATGCTGGAAGTCCATGTCTTTACCATTTACCTAACAATGGGGATTGCAAACCATATGTTACAACTGCTTGCTTAATTTCTTTTAGATCATTCATTCCTATAGATATCTATCTACCTTCCTTAGATCCTTTTGGGCCTTTAGAACTTGATGCTTTGTCAGAGTATATTACCAGGTAGGAAGCTAAAACCCTAGGTAAGTCATCTCTGACAGCTACTGGCAATGTTGAATCCTGTCCTTGTGCCTTCTTTCCATGTTCATCAGCTCCAATAATTTCCTCAATTATTTCAAATCTTTTTACCATTGTCTTTTGTAAAGCCTGAATCTCCTGGACTGTGTATATTTCTAGTGATTTCATTGAGGCACCTAGCCTCTGGTCTTCATTCTGCACATTTGATTCCAAGGTCTGAAGTTTCTCCTTTAAAGATAACACCTCATCCTTGGACATTGCTTGGACAGCATGCAGATTGCCATCCTGGAGAGATACTCTACCTGCTAACCTATCATAACTTTTTAATAAATTTTGATTGTCAAATTCAACAGTATAAATCCTCTCAGATAATTTCTCAGTACCATTACATATGGATTCAATTTTGTCTGTCAAATTAATGTTGTCTTTTTAATAGTATTATTTTTTCAAGTAACTTTTGAA